CCCTCCCCCTACTCCTCCTCCCTCCCCTCAGAGAGCCAAAGGCCACCCACACTGTCCTGACTTTTTAAGTTTTGATCTTTTTCTTTCCTTAACTAATACTTCTCTAAATTGCTTATACCTTCAAGTTGGGTTTTAAAGCAATCGACTTTCCATGTTAGACGTTTTAGACTTCCAGGAAAATTGTCAAGGAGGTCCTGAGCTCCCGCCCATCCCTACCCACAGTTCCCCTGTCCTCATAGCCCAGGTCAGTATGGATGGTCCGTTAATCACAATCAACGAATCAGTATTTATTTTTAAATATATTTTTTATTGATTTCACAGAGAGGAAAGGAGAGGGAGAGAGAGAGAGAAACATCGGTGAGGAGAGAGAATCATGGATCGGCTGCCTCCTGCACGCCCCCTACCGGGGATCGAGCCCGCAACCCGGGCATGTGCCCTGACCGGGAATTGAACTGTGACCTTCTGGTTCCTAGATGGATGGTCAACCACTGAGCCACGCCGGCCGGGCTTCGTGAGTCAGTATTCATGGTCCACGCCCCTTTCAGATGTCCTGAGTCTTCCCTGCTGTCCTTTCTCGGTCCTAGGCCCATGTGGCTGTCATGTCTCCTTAGATCCCCCCTTAGCTGGGAGAGCTGCTCACCCCCTCACGGGTACCGTTTCCCTCAAGGTCTTTTCAGCTGGATCCGTGCCTTACCACGCGGAGTCAGCGTTCGCGTCCACGTTAGGAACAAAAGCCAAACCAAACACTCGCCCTGCTCTGCCGGGAAACCATCCGAAAGACTAGCAGCGAGGAGTCCTGTGTCAGCCCATGGAAACGTTGGGTGTTCAACGTCTGCTCTTCGGCTGGACTCCCCAGTGCCCCGGTGGACGTGGGGGGGAATGAAGTGAAATTCACGTGAGGTCTTCCCTGCACAGAAGTGTTCTTTTCTACTCGGCTCCTCTCATCTGTTCCAATGAAGCCAGCTATTTGCGGATCCCCCTGCTGCTGGGATTTTACGTGTTTGAAGACCTAACACCTGTTTGTCAGACGAGACTTGTGTAGTTGAGGGAGGCGGGGTCTCCACAGAGCCCGGGTTCTCCCCGGAATCCCCCCCCACCCCCCAGCCTGCATCCTTCGCCCTTAGCGGGGTACCCGTGGCATTGCAGGGGATGGAAGAGCAACGTGTGAACTCCGGAGCTCTTTGTTAAGGGAGAGTGTTAGGAAGTAGCATTAGGGGTGTTGGTAGCAGGATGGTGACCTCCTTTCGCATGTTTTAGAAAAGCACCCGATTATAGCATGATCGTCGTTCTATTAAAAATGAACAGCCCTCTCATTTAGGAACTAATCACGACTCTTCGTCCTGGACACATGAGGACGGAGGGAAAGAAAATGGTGGACATTGTCCCTGCTGCGAAGGGACCCGTTAAAAGGGATTGCAAATATCAATAATAGTGATGATGATAATAATAATAATAATAATAATAAATTCTGCTTAGATGTCATTAACCCAAGATTCTAATACCAAAAAAGCCTCTTAAAAGCTGCTTCATCTGATACTTGCTCTAAGTCAGAACCACAGTGCCATGTCTAAGCTCATGACCTTTCTCTGTAATTATATGAAGAATCTAGAATAATGCTGCTACCTGAGGTACCGACTTTTATTTTTATTTTTTTAAATATATTTTTATTGATTTTAGAGAAGAAGGGGGATGGAGAGAGAAAGAGAGAGAAACATCAATGATGAGAGAGAATCATGGATCGGCTGCCTCCTGCACGCCCCACACTGGGGATCGAGCCCGCAACCCGGACATGTGCCCTGACCGGGAATCGAACCGTGACCTGGTTCCTAGGTCGACACTCAACCCCTGAGCCACGCCGGCCCAGCTCTAATCCCCTCCCTTTTGAATGAAGACTGTAGGTGACAGTTCTGTCGCTAACTCCCTAATAGGACCCAGGGTTTGAATGAGTCAGTTGTGTCTTAAACAGGGTGAGGAAGTTCGGCTCCTGTGCCAGAGGAGAAAACTGTGAATATTCTCAACATCAGTAGCTCTTCCTTCTCTTCTAGAAAAATCTGGATTTCCGGGGAGGAAAAAAAATTACTCTCATGAATACATTTTTGGATGCGAATGCCATTTTGTTTAGCATAAGACACCTTGATTCTGGGCCGAGATTTGTCCATGGGAACACAAGTTTAAGAATGTCACATGAAGAAGAAAAAAGAATGTCAGATGAGTCCCCAAATCTAATTTGTCCAAAGCGCCTCATGACATAGCAAGGGGTTCTTTCAAATGGGGTCAGTACAGGAGTCTGTCTTATGCGGAGCCCGCCTTTGGTCAGTGTCTGTGTCTTCAAGCCTGTTTGAGAGAGAGGATGGTTTTGATCAAACCAGTCAGCATCTTGATTTGTTCTAGAGAATTCTGTGTGTTTAGAAAGAAGGATATTTCATTTTGAAAATGATAGGATTTTGTGCAATATAATTTCTTGCATCATTTCGTTCAGATACATATGCAAATCTGCTTTGGTAGCAGACGCCTTAAGGTGTTGTTGTTCGGTATTTGTGTAAAACTGTATGTAGTAATGCCCCCGGTGATTTTTTTAGGGGGGAAAAAATGTATAGTGTTTCTGTGGTTGGCAGGAGAAATGTGTCTGTTTATTTAAAATAATTGTGGACTGTGCATCTTCACGAACTGCCTCAGCAACAATAAATATGCAAGAAGAATCCTCAGCCTTAGGGGAGTGTTGGCCACGTTGTGTTTTTAAAGGACACGGGTACAGGGCAGCGTGTGGATTCTACGTGTCCATTGAACAAACAGCCAGCCCGCGCCACGCCAGTCGAAGGGGCATTTGTCCGGCGACGCCCACAGCTGGGCAGCGTAACATCCTTCGGGGCATTGCCCACAGCTTGGCACCGCCGGTGAATGAAGTTCATTTCTTTGTGTGTGATGTACAGTCTGTTGCGCCTCCCAGCTTCTCGAGGTTTCTACCTTTGAAATACTTGAACCCAGCAGAAAAGCACTGTGGGAGTTCTGTAGCCCGGGATACAATATGCAAATCTACCAAAAAGCAAACAAAACAAAGTGAAGGTACAAACTCGAAGGTACTGAGCAGTGGCGTCCGCCGGATGCTGTGTTCGCTCCGTGTGTGGAGTGAAGGAATCGTGAGCCGCACAATCGTTTGTCTTCAAAGGTTGCAGAACCACAAAAGGTTACCTCGTAGATGTGAGACACCCCTCAGTCTCTCGGTCCGTGGAACTCCCGTTCTCCGTGGGGTCGCCTGTTCATGTCCCGCAAGGAGGGACACGAACAAATCGGCCTCTGGTTGGTCCCGTGACGTCGAGGATGGGACAGAAGAGGCTGGGTGCGTCCTCCAGGTACCACACCCCTCCGTCGGCCTCCTTCAGGGAACACCCCTCCCCCTCTACACGCTTGACTTGCGACCCATTTCACCATCGGACGCCAAACACGAGCTTTCTTGCCTCTGCTGTGGTTTCGGTGCTGACACCGCAGGCAGGCAAGACGTGGGCGAGACCCCCGGCTTCCCGTGCACCCAGCTTTCCTGCAGACGGGGTTCGCGAGGGGTTCCGAGTTGAACTTGCCCCTCGCGTGTTTCTTTCGCTTTAACGCAGTAGCTGTTTAGAAGGCCTGAGCCCTCTGCGAGACACGGGGCATGGAGACGGGCTCCACTGTGCTTGCGTCCTGGAGGCTGCAGTAGGAATCATCTCAAAGGCTGACTACTACTGAGAGAACATTGTGTAGAAAAGGATTGTTGGGGGAATTTTTTTAAAAAAAATATGCAAATATGAATATTGGATGAACTACGCATTACCATAAAGTGCCCAACAATGCAGTTATGAAATAAAATCGATTGTAACCCAAACTTCGCATGGCGGTGTGGCTCTTCTCTTATAACCGGGCAGGTAACCCCTTCGTTTCTCTAGGTGACCGATGGGGGGGGACCCTACCATCCCTGCCTCAGCTTTACCTCATTGCAGACTCCAGGCTACATCATCTTGATGGGTGTGGTCCCCTCACTTTGTTAGGGTCTACGATCGTGGGACAGGCACACAGAGTGTTACTAAGTGTATCAGGCCCAACTGGCGTGGCTCAGTGGCTCAGAGTCGGCCTATGACCCAGGAGGTCACCGTTCAATTCCCGGTCAGGGCACATGCCGGGGTTGTGGGCTCGATCCCCAGTGTGGGGCGTGCAGGAGGCAGCTGATCCATGATTCTCTCTCATGGATATTTCTATCTCTC